TGCAGAGCCCAAGGCTGGAGCACCAAGGGTAGCAGCAGCAGAGATGCTCGCTCGGCTCTTCTCACGCCCACCCAGCCGCTCGGGATTAAACCAAAACGCAGCACGCAGCGCTCCCTGGTACCTCAAAATCTTTTTTTCCTGTTATTACGGGGATGGGGGAAAAGCGGGAGTGACTCAGACGCTGTTGTTGGAGATGGCACTGGTGAGAGAGGCACCAGCACTGGTGGGAACCGTGGAAGCTACGGAGGCCTGAGAAGTGGCTGAAACGCTGCCAGCAGACATCCACGCCGACGCCGACCGCCTGCTGACCCGGGTCTCCAGCAAAGGCACTTGGTGGAGATAGGGAGCCCTCCACGCTTCAGTATGATCGGCTGTTAGGAGCGGCTGATGGCAAGGCGTAGCTGCCCGCGGGGCGCTCCTAATGGCAAGTTCCCCCCCGCTTTCCCCCCCTAATTTTGCATGTTTTAAAACAGGCCTAAATTTGCAGGAGGGGCTTAATTTCATTTTATGCCTAGAAAACATGCTGGGTCTTCTGGGGGGGGGCGTAGTGTCGGAGAAACACGGTATTTAGAGACAAGGTCTAAATACATAGGTTCTCATTTCTATAACTAAGGAAAACTTTAGAACAATTTAAATTAGGTAAATGACAAAATTCTCAATGCAAGAATTTCATTTTGATTGTTTTCATCATTCTGCTTCTCAATAAAACTCAGCCATATGCTTTCTATGAAGAACTAAGGGTTAAGCTGACCTTTGATGTGGTACAAGGACATTGTTTATTCCACCAAGTTTTGCATTGATCTTCAGACAAAGATTGGACAGAGTTTGAGGAGATGTTTTCACCACATTTTTCACCTGAACACATTGAGTTGCCATACCCAGGAGAGTATCCCCGACTCGTTTAACTTCAGCTGCAAAAAACAAAAAAAAAGTTTTTAGAACCCAGAAGATTTTTGAAAATGTTCTATCCAACCCCTACTCCCATCCCATTCCAATAACTCAAACTGATGACTTGGGTAACCTAAGGTGTTTTTTTTAAAAAAAATTATTTTAAAGAGTTTGCACAGGATTATTACAAAAGAAAAACAACAAATGGTAATTGCACATTTTTTCATTATAATAATTGTATTATGCATTTGGTCAAATGGTCTCTACCGTAGACAGGTGTCTTTCCTGGAAGAATCACTACAATTAGCTGCAGCCCCACATAAGTCAATTTCAAATGTTTGAACATGGGCTCCACACTGTCTGCCCCTTGTGCATATTTACAGAAGCACGGCTGGCCCTGGATTGGCATCCCCGCATCCTTAGAGATCTTGCGCAGCTGATCAGTAAAACTCCTAGAAACACAGAATAAATCATAGATAGTATTAGCACAAGCCTAACTTTGTGCATTTTATCCCTTTTATTCCACCTGAAATGGCTTTGATAAAAGAATTGGATTGGTTCTGAGAAAACAGATCTCTCAATCATCAGGTTAGATCAGTATTTTTTTGAATCTTGGCAATTTTAATATGAATGAATTTCAACTCCCAGAATTTCTTAGCCAGTACAACTGCGGAATTCTGGGAACTGAAGACCACATATTTGAAAGTTGCTAGGTTTGAAAAACCCAGGGCTAGACTAAACTTCCTTGAATACTGTCCATGTAACTGTGGACATCAGAAAATGAACACAATCGATTATTCTGAGCTGCAAAAGTTAATACTGGGGAAAGCAATCAGAGGTATTTGTGTACTTTTTAGGTTATCATTCTGAAATTTCTAATTGTGGCAAGCAAGTTCTATTGATAATCCCAAATTAAAACGTCATAATTACTTTCCATTGCATTAGGCTTCAATTACATTGGCTGAGAAGTATGCCTATAACAAAGAAGATATCAGTTCTTCTTAAAGTCCAACTCACCTCATAAGATTGTTCTTGCGGGAAAAATAGGAGGAAAGTGTGTTGGATATGTTCACCACCTTGAGTCATTTGTAAAAATAATAAAGGCTGGCTACACGTAATAAAAAATAAATTAAAAAGACACCAGATCTTGAAGGTATCAGAGTGGAGAAAACAGAAAGTGAAGAAAAGTAATTGCTTTGTGTACCATCATCTTGTTGATAACAACATTTTATCTTTATTAAAGGCACACCATTCACAGCTTTCCAAACATCAGTTTAAACCAGTAAACATAATCTTCTTCTAAACAAGGAAACTACTTACTTTAACAAATCTTCCCGACATTGCTTCTGAGGTGCAAAGCAGGCAACAGCCCACACTTTAATTTCAATCCCAGCATAGAACTGTTTTCCTCTCATATCCCAGACACCCTGATTTGGTGTAGCAACAGTCTTGTTCTAAAGAAAATCAAACACAAACCTCTGTTCTTTGACAAGAGTATAAACTGACGCAGTCAAGCCCTTTTTCATTGCATTTTCATGATCAGCTACATTTTCAGCCTCAAATTTTAATCAGTTGCCAGTAAAGAGTCTACAGGATTAAAATATGCATTAGCCCCTATATGTGGTCAGTTGTGTAATCTAAATTGGGTGAAAATTATGAAGTACTTACCCTACCTCCATACTGCAGCATTGGTGCAGGTAATACTCTGCCTGTCAGTTCTGTCATTTCATTATGGACAACAATACCAAACTCCTTCAGATATGGATCAGGTCCACCAACCATACTGTTACTCTTGACCTGGAGATTCAGAGAACATTTCTTCAATATAGACACAACAGCTCTTGTGAATATTTCATTTGAGTAAGTGTAGCTCAGTCCACTGTGTGGCTTTGTTCCTCGGTTGCTGCTATCTTTTGTTGTAGTTATCTGTGAATTATGTGGACTGCTGCAAAAAGGGGGGAGGGGAGTTTATTATCCTATCTTCTATGCCTTGGATACACCACATTCTCAGTGTACCATAACCTCAGAAACCCAGTGGCGAGAAATGGTGTTGGGTCCCAGGAAAAAGATTTGCAAAGTTCATGCAAGAAAAGATCCCGTAGCAATAAGCATCTTCCAGCCACCATTTTACTCCATCTTAATAGTGATTTAATATATTCAAGCAGTTACTCACTAGTCTGCTAATTTCCTCCTGCCTGTCAGGTGCAGATCGTGCTGTTGCTTTGATCATAGTTGATGTCTGATTGTCTGTTAGTTTCTTAATACAACGCTGTCCTGCAACAATATTACACACCTAGAATGAAAAAGATACAGGGTGAACAAGCCTGATGCAGCGGAACAGAACTGAGGAACAGAAACGCCTAGGTGTATATACCTCAAGGGGTAGATATGTATGTTTCTGCTCTTGCCCTACTTGGAGGCATGGAAGATGTGGGTATTTCAGTTGCAGACTGTACTTCTGCTTAAAATACTGAGCTACTGTACACTCCATAGCTTGCCCATTTTCCAACTGCAGAGGGAACCTGTGAGCAGAAATATGAATTAAATATATATTCATTTCACAAGAAAGAGGCTTGCCTATGGTATCAGAACATAAACAATTATTTTTGGATTCTCAACTATTTAACAAAGGCAGCAACAAAATTATTCTCCCAACAGTCATATTGCTGAAATTAATAAAAGCTGCAAGTAATCAGAGATGGACTGTGGTATGGGAGGGTAGTACTCCTAATATATGTTATCAAGCTCCAGTGAAAGAATCTTAGCATCCTAACTTTAAAAATCAGGTTTAGAATTTCAGTACATAAGGACAGCATGGTAAAAAAAAATGCATAACGTTGCTCAACCTAACTAAAAGTTAAAATTAAAAGAAGCTGTAATGTATGCATGTAAGATGACGGACTACTTAGTCCCATATCACTGCTACATGCCTGTCGGGTGATATCAAGAGGCTTATCTATAGCTTCTCTCACCTGAAGCAGCATACATGGCTGTCAGATGTCGCGTTTCCTCCATCGCTGTACATTAATTATGTAAATACAGGAAATCCTCACTTAACTATGGTAATTGGGACCGAATTTCCATCATAAAGTGACACAATCAAAAAGCACAGGTCATTTGGAAGTTGAGTCCTGGCAACTGGACTTCTGTTCTTTTTTACCTGAAATGCTGATCCAAGTACCTTTTTCAAATCTGTCTACTTCGATAAGCAGTGAAATGCTTCAAGCCTAAAAAAGAAAAGAAGTCCAGTTGCCAGGACTCAACTTCCAGATGACTCTTATCTGGATGACTGAGAATCTTCACTGACATATAGCCAAAGCACAAGTCACTTTTTTGGGTCCTATTCCAAATGGCATGAGACGTTATTTTTATAGAATTCTGAAATATGTCGTTTATGAAATATTTAGTTATGAGTGACCTTCGGTTGAAGCAATGCTTTTCCATAGCAGAAACAGAACAAAGGCTTTTCAAACAGAACAAAAGCTTTTTTTCCGCAAAAAAGGCATACATACGTTTGATGGCTAGCAGGTCGTCTAGTAACATTGCAAACTCTGTATTTTCTTTTCATTTGGCCACAGTGCGTAACCTCCACTTTTAAACCTATAAATCCAGTGAAACATAAAGACACAGATACCCAAATAAGCAAAAGCCAATATGATATATTGAGAAGGATCAAAGATCAAAACAAACTATTGGGCTCTCCGTGATTATATTTATTTTTTATATAGATGATGCAAATCCACTGTATCTGGATTGTTCAATTAAAATTCTCAGAGTGGATACAATAAAAATAAACCCAAGTTAAATAGTTTCTTCCAAAATTTATTCATCCTAAAGCTCGTGGAGAAAAAAGAATCTCACAACATAAGATAGGAAAAAAAAAACTGTCCACTTAAAATACTACAGAAATGTGTCATAATACTGTAGTCAGAATTCCCAGTTTGGGGGGGAAGTAGTTAATTTGGATTTTGACACTGTAGTAAGGTCAGAACAACTTGCCCATTAAATACAGAGCAGAGGTGGGTTGTGATCATTAGTAAAGGAGAAAAAATATTTTGAATTTTTATTTTTTGTTGAATATTTCTGATAAGAACAAATTAGAGACCAACACATTAAAAGGTACAGAGCTGGCTTTGAGCTATAATTGTCATCCCTCATCTTTTCTGCAGTAAAAACCCCCCAAAGTGTTGGTTTTCTAAAAAGACAAATGGGGATGTCAGAGAGATATCCACACAATGACAAAATATCCATCTGTATAACCACAAGTTTGTCTTTTTTATTTTTAAATGTGTGATATTGGGAGATGAAGGAACTCTAGCAGTTGCTAAAAATGTTCTCTCTAAACACCATCAAAACCAGCTCAACTTATAATTTTCTAAGGATGGAAATATACTGCAAAATTTTCAGAAATCAATTTTTTGTTTACCACAATTCAACATACATGATAACTTAGTATTTTAAATTAGTACCTCTGATTTCTTTGGTAAATTTAACACGCTGGGAATCCGTAAGGGGTTTTGTTTGTTCATTGATGTTCTGAATATCCAGGACTTCGCACATGAATTCAATAATAGGCTGAGCACGGTAGAAAGCAGTTGCAGATACTACCAAAAAAAAAAAAAAAAAAAAGGAGGAGGTGGGATACTGAGAAAAGAGTCTCAGGAGAGCTTTAGGATAATTTAAGCAAACAGGCTTCTTCCATACCATCTATATTGAGCATCATGTTCCACATGGCGGGCCTGACAGACTGATGGAAGCCAAACCAGACCTCCCGACCTCCACCCAGCGGGTGATAGTATCCTTCAGGGGGAGAGAAGAAGGAACGCCCCACTGGAGTGTACCTGATGGAATGGGAGAATCTACTCAGATTTGGCAAGAAGTTACATATCATGAGTATCTGGGGCATGGTGTAGAAAATATTACAACTATTAAAAATCAGACAAGTGGATCATTGTTAGAACAATTTTTTTTTTTTTAGATCAGGATATTCCACCACAGCACTTTTGGCAAGATCATCATCATCAGTATAAGTTAAAGCACGTGTCTATTGAGTGGATATTAGAACTGTCACTCGGAAAATTTTAACATAGGATATCACCTTTCAGTTTAAAACTTCGGAGACAGAGAAGGATTTATGGTGTGAGTAAAATAATGGATCTAAGCAAAAGACACTAAGGAAGACCAAGGAAATCCTTCAACAAATTTTGGAACGTTGTATTCATTGCCATGGAAGGCAAGTATCGGTAGCCAACCACTCTCAGTGCTAGAAAGAAAGCAATGGCAAACCATTTCCGAAATCTTGCCAAGAAAACTGAAGGGACTAGTCCACACAGTCACCGGGCGTCAACACTGACTTGGTTTGTAAAATAGAAATTGTTCTGCTGCAAGAGTTAGAATATTCTAAACTGTAATTGAAGAGACATAGTTGCAATTAAACTGTATTTAGAAAGTTAATTTGACTCTTATTCAAATGTTATTTTAAAAAGTGACTGCTGTTCCATATCTTTCCTATATTCCACCAAGTCAAAAATAGGCGAGAAAAGCAAAAACATTCAGCGAGAACAGAAAATGAATATATCCCTTAGAAATATTGTATATTCCTTGCAATTACACTTCAGTTCTGAAAGGAGGAATATCCACAAGTGTTACAATGGGCCACAACATGAATAAAAGATTCAACCAGGGTCTGCTGAGAAAACTACAGTCCAAGAGAGAATGAGTAAAAAATACTCACCTCATAGAGGGAAGATGCCGTGTGATGACATCGAGTGCCTGCACAGAGTCTTCTGGGACTTCGTTCAGATGCCCTGCCAAAGCTTCCAGGAGCAGCTGAAGGCTGACTACAGACACCCACTGGACTGACACTTTAAAGGTCTGGTCCTTCCCTTCACCGGGGAGTGTGACCTCCATATCCACCTGAAGACACAACAGTGAGGATTAACTGCGCAGATCTTTCCTAACTGTACAGAACATCTGTTGAAATTGAAACTCTTCATGAGCTCAACTTGTTTTCCACTGATCCTTGACTGAATTCAGTTTAATCTCATTATTATTTGGGTACAGCAGATACCCATCAAAGTCCCAGATCATTCTTCCCTAGAATAAAAATTAGCTGTAGTTCAAGGATAGTTCTCATGCACTTTAAAACATGTCCATATGCTTCATTTAATGCAGAACACTGTAATTTGGGCATGAAAAAAACAAGGAAGCTATTTAATTGGTTCAAAGCAATGCCAAGGATGCAGTTTTATCATTGCTTGTCATGTGCAAGCAATCGCACACGCATCTTTCAAGGTAGTTACTTTATTATATTCTGCCTATATAACACAGGCATTTACCCTGATTGCTTGCTCTCCCTTGGGAACAAACAGATACAGTTGCATGGAGCTTGGGGGAGGGGAGGGTGCCAGTCCTAGATCTCTTGCAGCTGTCCAATGATTCAAGACTAATTCCCTGCTTAAGTCCTCCTCCCTACCTAGCCGGGCATTTCCCAACATTGCTATTCTTTATATGGCACTGCTTTTAAACAAAGTCAGGGTATCACTGACCGTCCAGGTGTCACAAATATACAATTCTCAGTTTCTCTTAGCATTGGATATGCTTTCTGAAAAAGCTGGGAGATGCACCTTAGTGACGCCACTCTCAAATCTAAAACTTGTATTTTGGTAACTTCATTATTTGAATAGGGCAAACGAGGAGGCTCAGTAGGACATTCTTAGCAAATATGGCATTGAATCACTAAGTTAAAACTCTGAAGCCTTATTACTGAAATGACTTACCCTGTCCCTTCCAATAGGTAGAGGATGCGCAGTATACATATTTCTTTTGCCATCATAGCCAGGCTGTCGATCCCCAAATATTTGCATTTTGAAGTGTCTCACCATAGTATCTACTACCTCCCTGGAAAGTGGTATAAATTGAAATGAGAACTTAATGGAACAAGAGCATAATGTTCTTGATTTGATTTTCAAAATATGAATTAGTTCAAGTACAAATGGTCTCTACCTTATGAGACTGTCATTGCTGAGGAATGTTCCATGTGTGCCCACTGTATTATTTTATTTAAATGCCAAATTATCAGCAGTCAGAGAACCATTAAAATTAGGCTTGAAACTATACCTGTTCACTCTCCGGGGCCGTTTTTCTGGTTTGATATCCACATCATAATGATAAACATCAATTTTAGGAATCTGTACTTGGAAATGATTGGCTAAGAGACGAATTGGTTTTCCAACTGTTCCCAGGCCAGGCCGGCGCGGCGGCTGGAAAAGAGTGGCTGGTGGCCCTGGAGAAATGGAAGCATGTTTGATAGGTAAGCCTATTCTAAAATTGTAGTGTTCCAAACATTTGAACAATTCTAAATCAGTTTTAGGTTATATCCCATTTTGAAGTAGCTTGCCATTTCATGCCCACACCCCATTTTGAAGTAGACTGCATACAAACTATTCAGACAGACAGATCTAATACACAGATAAAGTTGACTGATAGTTCACAGGTTACAAGAAAAGATAGCCATTGATATACCCACAGCTAGTTCCTTTTGTTCACTCATTATATTCTATTAACAAATAATAGAGATTATTTATTTCTAGCATCTCCCATCTTTTCCCCCCCAAGATAAAAAAATTCCCATACCAGGTTGGTTACATTTCCCCTTGACATTATTAGTTAGTGAGTGAGTGTGTGTGTTTGTGTGTGTACACGTACCTTTATCAACTGAATTTGAAGCACAGCTGCTTTGTGTGGCATAGAATAGTGCTACGCGCAGCTGCTGAAGCGACTGGGATCGTGCAGGCTTGCAGGTGAGGTAGAATGCGCAGTGTGTGTGTTTGGCGTGCATATGCACACAAAGTGTGAGCACGCGCCCACCAAGGCAAGCCCATCGAGCCAGTGGCAAAAATATTTGAATCCCACCACTGACATACATGTATATAAAGTATATATATAAAGTCTACTGTCATCCTTTTCTGAAATTGTATCTTCAGATTCTTTTTCCTTCTGCATTTGAGTTGAGATAGCGTTCAAGCCCCTTCTTTAATAAACTGTACCTTCAACCTCTACACAGATCTAAGAGCTTGATGGTTTTCTTTTTAAGCCAACACATCTGAATAAAACTCAAAACTGTCCAGCTTTGATTTTTGTAACATTCTCTTCACAATCTGTATAGTCCTTTCTACTATCCTGTTTGACTGGGCATAATAGAGATTGGAAATAGAATGTGCAAAATCCCAATCTTTAGCAAAAACTCTGAATTCCATTAAACTAAGTTGTGATCTATTGTCTGTTTTGACCACTTCAAGGATTCCATGTGTTGAAGAGACCCACAATGCAAAATTTATTTATTTAAAAGATTTGCACGTCCATTCATCTTAGAACCAAACTCTGGTTAATTCACATCAATTATATAAAGCCAAAATAATACATAAAATAAAAACAAAGAAACCGGGCATCACAACCAAATTGCTTTGATGCAGCCAAAAGCACTGTCTTCCAACTACAACTTCACCCGCTACCAGAAATGAGGGAAGAGCTCTTTACAGTTTTCAGGAAATTTAGGGCATTGGATCAATATCACAACAGCATTACCCATCTCACCTGGAGTAGTTATGTATAACTGGGTATTATTAATATACTGATGCTACTATGGTACATTCAGCGCCTTCAGTTCTATCACCTAAAGTTTCATGTACATATTGAAAGAAAGGATGGGAGATCTGAGCCTTGAGGTACCCTACACTATAGGAGTCTGGGGTTCAACCTCTTGCCCCCCACAATGTTGACCAGAACCTGCCCCGAAGAAAAAAGACCACTACAAAAATATCAAATAAAATTTCCAAACTAATTTTTTCCCTCTGAAATTAAAATATATCAAACACAATTTCTGCCATAATCTCAGTCAATTCAAACACAATCAATTCAGCTTCTTACACATGCATCTTACACACTTAAATATCTTTTCCCCCACAAGATCTCACCTCTTAATCTTTCATGTACAATTATTCTCTCATTCTTGAAAAGTAATATTCAACTCCTCCTTATAATTTCAAAGCATTTTAAATTTTCTTTGCCAAGGCCACCGTATCAAAATATTTTTAATAATTGACTAGTTAGTGTAGCATTTTTAAATCATTTCAATTATATTCCCAGAAATAGGCAAGTATATCTACACACCTATTGCAACATTAGAATACAGTAATCCACTCATATAAGGAAGGAAGAAGAAAAATATCTAGAATACCCCAAGCTAGGGAATTTTTATACGTCGCCAGCAGATTTTAGGAAAAAGAAAGGGATAGCAGTATATGTGAAGGAGGACATGAAAGCAGAGCTAATTTGGACAGACCCCAATGGAAGAATTCTGGTGCTACAAATTTGGATTAAATCAATTCCCATTCTATTAGTAGTAATTTATGCCCCTAACGATAACCAAAAAGAATTTTTTAAACAATTACATGGGAAAATAGTGGAATTAGAGAAAAGGAATATTTATATTTTAGGGGATTTCCATGCTATTGTGGACCACCAGAAAGATCACAGTTGGGGGGGGGGCGGGGGGGGTAGAAGAAGAAAAAAAGAGAACTACCGAAAACATGTGAGGAAATGATGATTGAACTAAATTTGATAGACATGTGGAGGAAATTAAACCCTGAGAAAAAGCAGTTTACATTTTACTCTAATCCTCACCAATCATGGACACGAATCGATATGGTGTGGATGAATGGTGAGCTAGTAAATGAATTAAAAGAGATTGAAATTTTACCAAACGAATGGGCAGATCACAATCCGATTCAGATAGTGTGGAAAGGTAGGAAGAAACCAAGGAAAAGGTGAACCCTAAATACACAGCTAATTAAAGAGAAAGAATTTATGAATAGACTTGAGGAATTAAATTATTTCTTAAAAGAAAATAACAATGAGGCAACTACAAAACAGAATATTTGGGATACAGTGAAGGCAATAATAAGAGGTACAATGATATCATACACCGCTAAAAGAAATAAAGAAAAATATGCCCAACAAAATAAATTAGAACAAAGAATCAAAGAATTAGAAATTCAGCTACAAAACACCTCAAAAGATTGTAAATTGAAAAAACAGATGATAATAACTAAACATAAATTAAATTTAATCGAACAAGAAGGAATGGTTTCAAAGTTGAATACAGCTAGACAGATATTCTTTGAACAGGCCAATAAACCAAGAAGGTGGTTGGCCTACAAACTTAAAAAACAAACAAACAAAAAATGATCTACCAATTAATAGATGAAAACGGGGATGCCCAACAAGGAATAGAACAAAAAAAAAAAAAAAGAAATTGCATGTAAATTTCTTGAAGATTTTTATAAAATGGAGGTAAACAAGGACATGGTAAGAAACTATTTGGGTATTACTAAAGATAAGATAATCAAGGAGGAGATGAAGGAAATGTTAACTAGAGACATTACGTGGCCTGAGCTAAAAACAGCAATAGAAAACCAAAAGAACAATAAAACCCCAAGACCTGATAGGATACCATGGGGAATTTTATAAGAAAATAGGAGAACAAATAGGACCTCTCGTGGTAGAAGTATATAATGAGGTCCTACTTGCAGCAAGAATGCCGGATTCATGGAAGGAGACACTGATATCGTTGATCCCAAAAGAAGATTCAGACTTACGGTTTATACAAAATTATAGACCAATTTCCCTGTTAAATACTGATTATAAAATATTTACCACAATTATAGAAATAGATTTTAAAAATATTGAATGAATATATACATAAAGATCAAAACGGATTTCTTCCCAATAGACAAATTAGGAATAATTTAAGAATAGTACTAAATGTTTTGGAATACTACGAAGCCCACCTGGAAAAACAAACAGCCCTTGTATTCTTGGATGCACAGGCGGCCTTTGACAATCTAAATTGGCAATTCCTAATCCAACAAATTTACAATATGAATTTAGGCACTAAATTTGAAAACATTGTGACTACAATTTATGATTCACAAAAGGCAAATATTATAATTAATGGAGAGTACACACACTCAATAAAAATAGAGAAAGGAGTTAGGCGGGGATGTCCACTATCTCCCCTGCTCTTCATATTATCTTTGGAAACATTACTTACACAAATTAGACAGAATCCAGGACTAAAAATTAAGAAAGAAGAATACAAATTCCAGTCATTTGTGGATGATATGGCTTTTTTCATAGAAGAACCAATTGAAACAGGTCAAGAACTATTGAAAGAGTTAGATCAATTTGGAAAAGTTGCAGGACTTAAAATCAATAGGGAAAAAATAAAATTAATAACTAAAAATTTAACAGAAAAATAAAACTAAAATTGGAAAGGATAATGGGATTACAAATAGTAAAAAAAGTTAAATACTTAGGAATTTGGTTGACAGCTCAATGCAAAACCCTAACGGAAAATAATTATAATAAATTATTACAGCAAGTCAAAAAAGATTTAGAGATATGGGTTAAATTGCAAATCTCCTTATTAGGGAGGCTTGCCACTATAAAAATGAACATTCTGCCCAAATGTATTTACTTATTCCAAACAATACCAATAAAAATACATAAAAATTACTTTGTAGAACTTAACAAGATAATCACCAAATTTATTTGGCAAGGGAAAAAACCGAGGATAAACCTAAAGGCAATGCAAGATATGAAGAGCAGGGGAGGTATGGCACTCCCTACCTTGGGAATTATACTATAGTGCAGCCTCCTTACTTTGGTTGAAAGAGTGGGTAAACCTGTTGAATAAAAGAATCTTATTTCTAGAAGGCCATGACTTACAGAGGGGGTGGCACGCATTTTTATGGGACACTGGAAAAATTAAACAGAATTATTTCCACAGACATATAATTAGAGATTCCTTATTGGCTAATTGGAATAAAATAAAATAAAAACATTATTTAAAAATCCCAATCTGGATCTCAATGATGGAGGCGATGATACATCCAAATAATCAAGATCTTAATAAAATGATAAAATACAAAGACCTTCTTGATGCGCAAGGAACTTTAAAATCATGGCAAGATCTCCAAGAACAGGGGCTACAAGTAGACCGATGGGCTTACTTGCAAATTCAAAATAGATATAGCCAGGACAAGAAAATTTTTGGAATTTTGGAACCCTAAGGCACAACAAATAGATAAAATTTTATTAGGTCCAGATAAAAAAATATATAATTAAATTTTATAATTATTTATTAGAGATAGAATTAGAAGAGGAAGTAGTCAAAGGCAACATAATAGCTTGGAACAGAAACATAGGACGCAGCATTACATTATTAGAATGGGAAAAGGTTTGGACAAGGAATAATAAAATAATAAAATCAGCAGCATATAAAGAAAATGCCTATAAAATGTTTTATAGATGACATCTTTCGCCCTCAAGAATAGCGAAAATGTCTCCTAACATGAATCCAAATTGCTGGAAATGTAAAAAGAAACACGGAACATTCTTTCACATGTGGTGGTCCTGCACTGAAGCCCAAAGATACTGGCACAGAATAAAAAAAAATGGTTAGAAGAAATAACAGCAGAGCAAATTGAATTAAAACCAGAATTTTTCTTATTGGGGATATTTAATAGACAACTTTCTAAAAAAGTCAAATATATAATACAGCACATTCTTACTGCAGCCAGAATAATCTTGCAAGTGTTGGAAACAAGCAGATATTCCAACAGAGGAAATGGTCATTCAGAAAATAACAGCCTGTGCAAAGATGGATAAGTTAACCTTAGCACTTAAGGAAAAAGAAACTTCAGAATATTATAGAAGCTGGGAATGCTGGTATGACTGGATAGAACAAAAATAGAAAATATATTAGTAAACAACGTAAAATGTAAAAGAGGTAGTAATTATATACTCTCAAGATACATTTGTAAATATATCACCAATATTGGTAACAAACAAGGAACCATAGACTGTCGATAATAGAATTGCTAATTTTTTTTTAATCTTTTTCTTTTTCTGTGTGTTGTATATGTGTTTGTTTGACATTTTAGCTGTATAATCAAGTTTGTTTTAAAAAAAAACACAGTAATCCACATATAAGTCATCATTACTATCTTAAAAAACTCTTAGAAAGGCATCTACAATCACCAATTCCTTCCCAATTCTTTAAATTAGGGGGCTCCAACCCCCAGGTTGCAGCCCATTTAGAACCAGCCCACAGAAGCATTTGGCAAGCGAGCACGTGCAGCATGCAGGTGGGCACAGTTCCATTTGTACAAGCAGCGGGCACGCATGCCCATCACTTGTGCAAATGAAGCTGCAGGCATTCTCTCCCCCCACCTCATACCGATCCACAAAGCTGGAAAGGTTCAAGACTGTTGCTTTAAACTACTCCTAATTGATATTTTTGGAAAGTTAGTAACCAGCAGTTGCTAATTTTGCCAAGTTTCAGTCCTGGTTTTAAATGCATGTGTCACACAAAATCTTTCTTGTAATACCACACCTAAACAGATGTACTAGTACCTGTTGACACTGCTACAGGTTTAGTCAAATCATAATATTTTCATACAGGTAAACTTATCAGTAACTGTTTCAATTCTTAATATGTATCTCAATATACTGGCATCCATATCCTGTAACAGTTGTCACAAGAAAGTTGTCATTCCTGGAACAAATTTTGTCAAATATGTATTGGAATACAGGTGGTCCTTAGTCAATGATGACAATTAGGTCTGGAATTTCCATCACTAAGTGACATGGTGATAAAGCAGGACATCATGTGATCAGATTGCTTAGTGACAGCACTTTCAGTTGCTGTCGTTAATTGAATACTGCCATATTATATGATCATTGTGACCTCCTGCCGGTGTCCCTATTGACTTTCCATGTTAGAAGCTGGCAGTGACAGTTGCAAAATGTGATTGCGGGACACTCCAACATCATGATTGTGAGCCAGTTATTGAATGCCTATCTTGTGATCACGTGACCATGGGAATGCTCTGATGGCCAGAACTTTGAGGAAGCCTCAGGTCAGCACTAAACAGCTGCTGAACAAGTGATTGTTCTCTTTGTTTCCTTATAAAAAAATATGTCTCCCATATGTAGTAATTTTTCTTGCTGCTAAGTGAGTTCCACATTTGCCAAACAAATCTTATCAGACATCTCTTCAAACTCAAAAGTATTGAATACATTTGCAATAAAATCCATATGGGGGCTGCAGCTGATGCATTGCAATATTTATGTGTCCAAAACTAATAAAATGATTTTTACAGCTAAATCAGTTCAAAGTCTCTACCATTGCTTCCTCCCATGCAGCACAAAACGATGCTTTGCCACTGTCACTAAAGTGATCATCTGTATTACTACTGTCTGATATAAAAGCCTGCTTGCTTTAGCATGACTTTAATGCTTTGGGAGACCATGCCAGGAGCATATACTCTTGCCACACATTGCAAGAGTAATTGCTATACCAGTTGAGAAGCTTTGATGTACCAGTAGAAACTGAAATTTTCCACAAATATCACAATCAAAACTATTTCCAACACTAGCTAGGTAGACTATTAGCACCTGGGATAATTTCAATTCAAAATATAAACTTAGCAGTTAAGAAAAACTTTCTTGGAAAAAGGTAAGTATATTGCTACAAAAGTCAACCATTAAGTTCTTATTACTACGGGTATTTATTCCTCTAAATAAAGTCATTTTCAAATCAAGCTAAGGTCTACATGGATGCTTCATGATTTAATAATAAGAAAACAGTTTTTCACTGTCTCCTTGGGAGTTTTTTTTTTAAGAATTTCCCATCTACAACCCCCAATTTTCTCGGTGATCCCCACAATCAAATGCCAACCAGGTTTGATTCTGCTTAGCTTTTGGGGGGATTGGTCAAAGTACCACTCATCAATGAAATACAGTAACTGTAATGATGTGGAACAGCTCCCAAATGGCTGTGTACATTACAAACATATCAAACATGTTTTCACTTCATCTATCACATTTCTAAAAAGCTCAAACCAGAAATACTTTGTTTTATTTTGAACCTACATGGCATTTAAAAGGAATAGTTGAAAGGGCTGTAGAGCCCTAATCGGGCTGCATAGCCTGGCACAAGACCAGAAGGGCTTGCAGCTGCTGTCTTTCTTCCTTGGCATTCCTCCCAAATGCAAAACCCACATGGACCACCACTCCCTACCTTTCACTGCCAGAGCCACACCCTTGAGTCTTTGCTCAAGATTTAGATCTCAAACACATTAGGGAGTCAAATAATAGTATGGGAGCTTGAAGAGTTTCAAGGGAGATGGGGCGGGAAGGAAAAGGAGAAAAAGAATCAGCTAAAATAGATTTATCTCCAAATATTCCCTAGTTACCACAGCAGCTCTAATTCCTGCTCTGACCAGGAGCAAGAAACAAAAATTTATAATTTACTTCATGATCCTTTACAAAAATCACAGATATAAAATTCAGAACCTGAGCATTTATTCAAGCAAAATCAACTCAAAATAAAAAATGTACTGTGCTTACCAGTATTACTTAATCATTGATTTAGGGAATTTCCATTTCACACTGTCCATTCTATAGTGACCAGCTTTTGATAGCTGCCTATAACTAAACCAGAGCAGTAAAAAAAAAAGCTAAAAAATTTGTCAGGAAAATTGCCAAAATTAAAATGAAAAGCCCAATACTAGAAACAATCCTAATGTGAAACATATTTCTGAGATTTCACCTCTGCAATGCCTTCATAAATACAAATTTTCCAACTCTTACCTTAAAGATTTTAAATTTAGTGTTCAAATAAATATTTAATTGTCAGATGGAATTCCTACATAATGGTAAAATGTACTCCTCCATCCTTCAGTTGAAGAATCTCAGGCACATTGCTGAAGTTAACTACCAGAGCCCTATTTACGGCAAGTATCTCCCTAAACTTTAGAATCATTGAATCCAGAATCTGTTTATGATATGCTAAAAAATATCAATTGCTAAGCTTCAACTAAGTGGCCACAAGCCAGTGTGATTTGTTAGTTATATTTAATGATGTCTTGTGCACACAGTCAAAAAGTATCACCATTAAAGTAACTGATACACACACATATATTTGCACTTATTGTACCTAACCTTAGAGTCAAAATAAGTGTTGAATCTAAAAACTACTGCACTCTTATTAACTTCTACAATTTCGTTTTGTAATCAGGAATCAATATTTTCTGGAATTTATGGACAGTTTTTATACTTTAGTTGACTTTTTAACAAATATTGCAACACAGGCATGGTTTATTATATCTTGGGAAATTGGGCCAAAAGTTAAAGCATAAATAAATAGCTGAACAAAACAAACTAAATCTCTATATTCTCAACATGTATTTTTTTCTTAAAGATAACAAAAAGCAGATTAGAAAGTAACTAAAGAACAAGGCAACTTGCTCTACAAAAGTTAGGTCATAGAACCATGCTACTTTTTCTCCCCTCCCTAAATAATCCAGCCAGAGACTGATTTCACAGTTCATCCTAGGCTATTATGTGGTTTGTCTGCCTTGGGCTTAGCAAGGAGGTCCATAAACCATGACTTCACAGCTTAGCCCATCGTGCAAACCCTGGCCACTGTGTTTCTTAAAACCAGGTTTCAATCAAACCACGAGGTCAGGGGATAGGTAGGTGAACAAATGTTTCCTTTGTCCCACTGCATTCACATCGCGGTGCAGAGTCCTCGGAATCGCCACACCGCCCGCTCCGGATACCCTGAATTATACGGTGTGTGTTCAGCTTGAACCACAAATGGTAGTTGTTGCGGTCTGAAAAAGTTTTGAAAAGGGCAGCAGGCTGGGGAGAGTGCTGTTCCGACTCCCGAGGACGCAAGCAACATTTTAAACGGCTCCTAAAGCCATCACGTGCTGTGAGTGTTTACAAACAGTGGCAAGTACTCAGCTGCACGGAAGGCAGCCACCGACGGGAACTCCTTTGTGGGCCCACATGGCCTCGGGCAGAGCGGAGTCAACGTGCCCGGAGAGTCCTGAGCCACCAGCCCTCGTTTTCTCCTTTCCCTCGAAGGGAAGGCGAGAGAAAGGCGCCTTTCTTCCTTCCTCCGAGGGGCTCAACGGGAAGGAAACCCGAGTCACCTCCAGCCCCGCCCCAATTAAAAGGCGAAGAAAAGGGGCCATCTGGGCAGCCCCCCTCCGCCTTCCCGCCGAGAACCCAGCCCCGGGCCCACCCACACCTGCAGGCCTCTCACCTGGTCCCAGCGCCTCCATGGCGACGGCGGCGGCGGCGGCGGCCTCACCGCGGTCCCCCCCGGCCGCCGCCGTCGCCGTCGCCACGGGCCCCGCGGCTCCAGCCGCCGCCGCCGCCGCCGCGTATCTCTTGATTTCGGGAATATTGGCTTCGGGGTGAGGGTCGGCAAGGAGGAAACGGGGGACGGAGAGCAGCGTCTCCGCGTCACAAACAACTCGCGGCCGCGGCGGAACCAGCCCGCCCGGCCGACCGCGCTCCTTCGCTCGCTTCCAACGGGATCGTCGGCGGCGGCTGCTGCTGCTGCTGTTCCTCCTGCTCCGTCTGCCTCACACGCGCGCCTGCATGCGCGCGCCTCCGCCCCGAGAGCGAGCGAGCGGCGAGAGGCCGGTCCGGGGCTGAAGATGCGGCCGAGCCGAGCCAGAGCCAGAGCCAAACTCTCAATGTGCGTTTGCCTCAGCGCGGTGAACCCTGCCACAGCCGCCTCGAACTCGGCCCCCTGCAGCTGCGCCTGCGCGCGCCTGCGCGTAGTTGAACCCACCCACCCGCTCGCGCGCCAGGGCTAGCCAGAACGCAAGGACCAACTGAGGCACCTCACAGGCAGTCACCCTCCCCGTTCCCTGGCGCGCGCTCCAGCCCCGCCCCTTTCTCCTCCTCCTCCTCCTCGCTCCTCTTCGGCCCTCGTGACGAGCGAAAGGAGAGGCGGGCAAGCGGGGACGCGCATCGGGGACGCGCCGGCCCTTTCGCCTCAGCCGTGGATGTGCGCGCGCGCTTCTCCCCAGAAGCCTCGTGCCGCCTTATTATTATTATTTTTTGCTTCTCCTGCCCCCCCCCCACCCCCGCCCCTTCCCCACAAGGAAGCGATGGCCGTTCCTGAGCAGAAAAACCGGCGGGTTTACCCGTCCAGCCAGGATAAATTGAAAGGTTTATGGATGGGTTGAGGCTAGTGTTTCATAACCGTGGCAAAGTTAAGATGGGATTTCAGTTCCCAGAATTCCCCAGCCAGCGGGGAAGGTTTCCGTTCCCCATCTCCTTCCTGCGTGCGTCTTGCTTCCTTGCGCCCCGTGTTTGACAATTTTGACTTCGTTATAGTGTCACTGTTTACAATGTTTTATCTTGTTTTTCATGGAGTCATAGGGCTGGAAGGGATCTTGAAGGTCTTCTAGTCCAGCCCCCTGCCCGAGGCAGGAGTCCTTAACACAATCCTGGTCAAATGGTCATCCAATCCCCAGTGATGGAGCACCCACAAGTCCAGGAGAAAAAGCAATTCCATTGATTAATTGTTCTCAAAGGAAATGGATTTATTTATTGACTTTATATTGCCGCCTATTCGCCCATGGTGACTCAAGGCGGCTTACAGAATATAAAACCACATTTGAAACCAATTTAAAATAACAAAAAAAAATCAGATGAATTAATATACTACAATATAACAAAATCATCCCCCCAACTCCCACCCCCTGACCCGACAACAGCAGATCACAGGAGCCATTTAATGGGCTCCATCCTGCTCTGGGTTCCCCAGACCCACACTGGTAGAACCAAGTCTTCAGCGCCTTCTGCAGTCCTTATGTCCAGGTTGGATGACCCTCTGATGGAGCTTCTTTGCTGCTTCTCCTGCCCTCAGATGCTACGGAGAATAAATCGATGTCCACTTCCCTGTGTCAACTCTTCATGTATTGGAAGGTGGCTATTGTGTCACCCGCAAGCCTTCTCTTCCTTAGGCTAAACATACCTACCAGTGGCCCCCTTAGCTGTTCATCATATGGTTTAGCCTACAGACCCTTTATCACTTCGATGCTCTTTTCTGCACCCTTTCTGGGGTCTCAGGCTCTCAGCATCTTTTTTTTTTGGAGCAGAGTAACCAGAACTGGACATAGTATTCCAAGTGTAGCCATACTAGTGCAGTATAGAGTAGTACTATCACTTCCCAAAATCTTGATGTTATCATTGGGGAATTAACTGATTGTAAGCTGCTTAGAGTGACCTCTAGGTGAGGCATCATATAAGTTTAATAAATAAATATTAAAAATACATAAATTCCCAGAATTCCCCAACCAGCTTGGATGGATTTCAGCTCCCAGAATTCCTTCTCCAGGATGGGTGGACTTTATAATAATAAATGATAATAACTAATAAATGTAATAAAACTCCCCTAACCTTGCAGACTTCCCCAGCGATTCCATGAGAAATTCTGAGAATTGATGTCCGCCCATCTTAAAATTGCCGAGGTCGAGAAATGCTGATTGGGATCATCCCAGTTTGCTTTGTTTTGCTGAGCAGGACGGAGGGAAACTGGATTTCCTGCCAGGAGTTGGTACCTTTTCCTCTTCACTGTGTTCCCTCTTGCCCAGGTTTCATCCTTCACGGCTGCTGATCTTTGGGAGCTTCCAAGCTTCTTTCCATTGCACCCAATGTTATGATCTTCTTTGCCTATTGTTAAATAAATCATGTGGTCATTAAGCAAATCCAGTTTCTCCCATTGATTTTGCTTGCTGGAAGCTGGCTGGGATTGCATAGTTTTTATATCTCCATGAAGGAATCCAATTCATGAACTAATGAGGTCCATCCTAGCTTACCCTCACCAAACATTTTATAGTTTTCCCTCTCTTGACAATTCACCCTTTTCGACCATCAAATAAGTCTTGAGATTTAATAAACAACAGCACTCAGTACAGTATTTGCAAGGTATGCAGCGTAAGATCTTTTTTCTTTTGATGTCAAACTACACAAAACAACCCGAACAATTATATAAACTCTAGCACAATATTGCATATTTAACTTTCAGCTTTTGGAAAGTTTTTGATGGATGATTACTAATCCTGTGGGTGTCTTGGCATGCCAAAGTTTTTGACACGCAAAAGCAGAGCAATCACTGAAATTAAAACAGGGAGGAGTCCCAAAATATTCTTCCTAGCATTTGGGAATTCTCCTTTTTTCTCATGCCAGGACCTTTGCCCAACCACGATTGTGCTTTCTGGACACTAGATCCTATTCAAGTGAATGGAACTGTTTATCATAATTTAATCCATATAGCTCTGGATTATATGGAATACTTCCATCTTCTTTGATAGCCTGGCAACAAGTAGGGTAGATTGAAACGGAATGATTGTGACAGTCTCAATCATATACAGGAAGTTCTCTGCTTTTGGTCACAATCAGGATACAAATTTCCTTTGCTGAGCAAGGCGGTTAAATGAATCATGCCTGATTTTAACAGCATTTTTGACCACGGTTAAGTGAATCACTGCAGTTAAGTGAACTACATAGTCATTAAGTAAATGTGGCTTCCCTCGTTGGCTTGGTTTATTAAAATCTGGCTGGGAAGATAACAAATTATAAACACGTGACCCTGGGATGCTGAAACCATTACAAATACATGAGTCCTGGTGGTGCAGTGGTTAGAGTGCAGTCCTGGAGGCAATTTTTGCTGACTGCCGACTGCCTGCAATTTGGCAGGTTGAATCCCACCAGGCTGA